TGTCTGCAATTTGGTCATTCAAATCTCACTAGGTTCAAGGTTGACTCAGCCTTCCATCCTTCTGAGGTGGGTAAAATGAGGACCCAGATTGTTGGGGGCAAGAGGCTGACTCTGTAAACTGCTCAGAGAGGGCTGTAAAAGCACCGTGAAGCGGTATATAAGTCTAAGTGCTATTGCTATCTTTACTTTTTGACATCTACCATACCATTGGAGCACAAATGGTATTTTTCATGCCACGATTCTTTTTTTTTTTCCCCCTTCCCCTTTTAACCAGTCCACTTCAGCTGTAACTACCTTTTCTCCTAACTGCTTTCTCCATCATTACATTTCCTGCCTTTCTGGTTCTGTCATTGAGGCCTTCTTTTTCTCTCTCTCTCCCCGTCTCCCTTTCCGCCATCTTCTCCCCCAGCTGTCTGCCGCTTCCAGCCCATCCTCTCAGAGTCCACACAGACCTTCAGGAAACGACCCCTTTGCAGAGGTCTCCTTGCAGGATTTCTTATAGGATCCTTTAGGTATTGCATGTTCACTTTGTGGGTGGGGTGGGGTGGGGTGGGAGAAAGTTGGCCAGCTGGATGCTGCCTCTTTCTAGGAACAACCCCTTCGTCCTCACAGAAGGCTCCCTCCTTGCCACGAGCGCATCAAAATGTCGTTCCCGTTGGAGAGGTCTCTACAAAAAGTTGCATGTTTGGATGGTCTGATTGGATGAGTTCCAGCAAACTTTCCCAATGATGCAAAATTTTATCACTGCCACCAAAACTACGAAAACAGCGTCATGTTGGTTGAAAATAATGAAATACGCAGGGTGTGCCTGTTGGATGTGGAGGGAACCTCTGAATCGGATCAGCAACTGGTATCTTGAGATGCCTCTCTTGCTACGTTCCTGGGTGTCGTAAGTGAGCCCCAGGTCCCACGGATCCGAATCTCTCCAGTTGTCTATGTTGATATCAAACAGATCTACATGGAGATCGTAAATCACCATAATTTTCGCTCCATAAGACACTCCTGAGCATAAGATGCACCTAGGTTTAGAGGAGGAAAACAAGGGGGGGAAATATATCTGCCTCTGCCTCCCAGCTTCCATCCGCTATTCATCTGGCTGGTTCCACTACAAAATCGCGGAGGACAAAATCACGCTCGACGAAAGCGCGCATTTGACGTCATCACAGCGCGACGAAAACATCGCGCTGTGATCGAAAAATGTANCCTTTTTTTTAAAATTTGCCTCTTCAAAATCTTGGTGCGTCTTATATTCTGAAAAATATGGTAGGCGGTCAGGTCCTCTGTTTAAAACATCCCCAAGGTTTAATGCCTAATGGCTCTTTTGACCCTGCCTTCTTGCCACTTGTTTTATTGTCTTGCATTGTGTTTGGCTAAAGGTCTCGTCTTCCCTCAGTCCCTTTGCTTCCAAGCCTTCCCTTTGTCAGCTTTCACAGCAAGAGCCATTTACGAATAACTGATGGCTTCCTAACAGCAAAAGATTCACCTTTTTCCGTTCAGGCTAAGTGTCTATGGAGATTCTCAGTTTCTGGAGTTCAGAGTGTCCAGTTGCCTCTTGAAAAAAGCATCTTTGGGATGTTCAGGCTATAAGGAAATTTATGCGACGGAGAGGAGAAGAGAGGAAAGGAATGGAGCAGAGCAGAGCATGTAAGAAATAGGACAGTTATGATTAACCTTTTCAGTACCGAATGCTGAAACTGGAGCACACGTATGCTGGAGCACCAGAACTCGGAAGAGAGCAGCTGGCCGGTGCTCATGTGCATGGCGGCCAGCTGCACTTCCAGGTTCTGTCACGCGCATGCGCACCGGATAGGTGGTCCAGAGCGCATGCACATTGGCCAGCTGTTCTCTTCCAGCTGCCGTCGTGCACATGCGCCAGAATCCAGAAGAGGGCAGCTGACCTGTGCCCATGCTCATGACGGAACCCAGAAGAGCAGATGGCGAAGGCTCTGTGTGCCACCATCACGGCTGTAGGAAATTGACACAACAAGGAAGTTGTGTCAATTACTAAACACTAAGCAAGTAATTTTGGATAACATAAGCTTGTTTATTCATTTGATAAACTTCTGAGGCTGCGCAATTCCCTAAAGACTCTGGATGGTATAGAATATTAAAAGCAGTCAAAACCATTATAACCAAGAGAAAAGAACCATAACCCTCCAGGCTAGGATGGGTTCTCAAGGGAATTTCCAGGACTTCAATTCCCAGAATTCCAAAGCCAGAAGGATCATTGATGAGAATTCTAGAAGCTGAAGTCCACACTCCTGGAAATTCCCAAGGTTGCTCCAGACAGTAATAAAACCCATTATCTTTAACGCTGGCTTTCCGCCCAAATGGGTCTCCTCCATCCCCTTAGCCCAGGGCACGGGGTCAGAGCCAGGGTTTTCATGGCTAACTTAAACCAGGTTGAGGTACGTTGACGTGCTTTCGTTTCCTTTGAGCCGTTTCCTCAACTGAGGGAAATGCCTGGATGAAAGAGACTCCATGCAAGCATTAATACTATCAAAGGCAGAGGAACAGATGCGTTTCATTTTATTTAACTCCCCTGATGAAGTTGATATCCTGTGCTGGAAACCAGAACATGGAAGGAATTAAAATCCCATGGGAAAGTTTGGATCAGAGTGATATTTTAGGAATTTGTGGGAATCTTGGGTGCTTTTAATAGGATTTTGTTCTACCTTCCCACATTCAGTGTGACTGAACTGTTGTGTATATACGAAAGACTGAAATATTTACTTTTTTAAAAATGCCAATTTGCGGCTGTTGTTTGGAAGACAGTTTCCATGGTAGGAAGAATTAGCTAAGCTTTTTAAGTATCCTGGACCCACTTGTAGATTATATTCTAAACATAACTAGTCTATTTTTAGCGGGAAGCAAATTCTGTCGTGACAGTTGACATGGAGCAGGCAGCCACTTTCACATATTGATAATATTTATTTACTTACGGTTTTGAACAGAATTTAAACACAAGGGGAATTGTCTTAAAAAGGGCCCAGAACAGTAACGGGGAGAAAAATTCCTTTCCCTTCACCTAATTTGTGCAGCCAATCTAATAACATGCTAAGGATGAGAAATACAGAGGTATCTTAGAATATAGCATAACATAGAATAAGAGGCTTGGAAGGGGCCTTAGGAGGTCTTCTAGTCCAACCCCACTTGGATTAGTCTCCAGTTGTGTTGTCTGTAGTAGACTAACATTGAAAGTGTCTCTCAGAATATCTCTGAGTGAGCCGTATGTAGGCTTAAATCTGGAAACAAGGGTTTTAATTTTAATTTTAATTTCCTCAAGGTTCAGAAATTGCAGTAAAATCAATAGGTAGAATTGCTTATCTATTAGCCAGTATCGCCTGCTCTTGGGAAAAGAGTTGTTTCCTCTGGGCTGTATGTGTTCCTTAACATCCGTCTTTGTGGCCTTTGAATTCTTACTAATAAAGTGGTAAGAACTAATGAAGACTCTAAAATATGCATATATCAGTGGATGCAGGGAATCCTCAACTTACCACCCGTTGCTTAGTGACCGTTTCGGGTTAAAAATGGACCTCCTGGGGAGGGCAGTGCTTACGGCCCAAATTCAAAGTTCTGATACTTCCAAACACACATCCGCCATGGTCACATGATCTTTAAGCACTGGGCAGCCAGCCGAGGTACACAGCCATTTTGCAACATCCTGTAAGTCACATGACTGCGTTTTACGACACTTTTGTCGAAAGCTCAGCATTTGCTTCCAGTTTTACGACCGTGGCATTGGCTTAACAACTACGACAAAAAAGGCTTGTAAAATCGGACATGTCGTTGTGGCGCAGCGGTCAGAATTCAGTACTGCAGGCAAACTCTGCCCACTGCCAGCAGTTCGATCTTGACTGGCTCGAGGTGGATTCAGCCTTCCATCCTTTTGAGGTCGGTAAAATGAGGACGCAGATTGTTAGGGAGCAACGCGCTGGCTCTGTAGGCCGCTTTAGAGAAAGCTGTAAAGCACTGTGAAGCAGTATATAAGTCTTAAGTGCTATTGCTGGGTCACATAGATAGTTATGACCATCAGGACTTACCACCATAATGCGCAGGCTCCACTATGGTCATAACTCAAGGACTCCCTGCAGTGCAGCTCTACCCTCCTTTTCCTGAGTTGTATCCTTTGGCAATGAAAATGTTGTCCAATGCAACTCATTCTGTCTGGCAGCAAAACTTTCAGACACATTTATTCCTTTTAACATGATTTGCCAAATGCTGAGCCTGGAAACCATCCAAATGAGGGGAAGGCACTCTGCCACTTTGCTGTAATCCTCGCTCCATTTTTAAAGACAAGTTCTTCCCTTCCAGAATTCTATAACTGACCTCTTTTTTTAAAAAAAAATTCTCCCTCCCCTGTACAAACACACACACACACATGTAGACCCAACAGTTTAGGCTACGGTGAAAGGTGGGAAGTGATTGTAAAGGCCTTTTTGGTTGAAACGCTGACTCTGCCTGTAATTTAAATAGAGAATTTTACCCACTGGACGTGAAGTACCCTCAATATAAAATAAAATAAAAACAAGAGTAGTGAAAATAAATGGTTGCAGAAAGCCCCCTAGAGGGGACAAAAGCAAAATAAGCAATGCTTTATTGTGAGCTCCATTGCATAAGAGGAGTGGTGGCGCAGTGGTTAGAGTGCGGTACTGCAGGCTACTTCAGCTGACTGCTAGCTGCAGTTTGGCAGTTCGAATCTCAACAGGCTCAAGGTTGACTCAGCCTTCCATCCTTCTGAGGTGGGTAAAATGAGGACCCAGATTGTTGGGGGCAAGAGGCTGACTCTGTAAACTGCTCAGAGAGGGCTGTAAAAGCACCGTGAAGCGGTATATAAGTCTAAGTGCTATTGCAGGCTAACTCTGCCCTCTGCCAGCAGTTTGATTTTGAGCAGCTCAAGGTTGACTCAGCCTTCCATCTTTCCAAGGGTGGTAAAATGAGGACCCAGATTGTTGGGGGCAAGAGGCTGACTGTGTAACCCGCTTAAAGAGGGCTGTAAAGCAGTGTAAAGCGGTATATAAGTCTAAGTGCTATTGCAGGCTAACTCTGCCCTCTGCCAGCAGTTTGATTTTGAGCAGCTCAAGGTTGACTCAGCCTTCCATCTTTCCAAGGGTGGGTAAAATGAGGACCCAGATTGTTGAGGTCAAGAGGCTGACTCTGTAAACTGCTTAGAGAGAGCTGTAAAAGCACTGTGAAGCGGTATATAAGTCTAAGTGCTATTGCAGGCTAACTCTGCCCTCTGCCAGCAGTTTGATTTTGAGCAGCTCAAGGTTGACTCAGCCTTCCATCTTTCCAAGGGTGGTAAAATGAGGACCCAGATTGTTGAGGTCAAGAGGCTGACTCTGTAAACTGCTTAGAGAGAGCTGTAAAAGCACTGTGAAGCGGTATATAAGTCTA